GGGGGGGGTGTTCGGAAGGGCCCTGGGCTCGCCGGGCAAAGCTACAGCGGTCCGCCACTGCCCGCTTGGACCGGGGGGTTACTGGTGCAAAGGCTGCGGTCGCAGCCCCGTGGCCTGACTGCGCCCCTGCAGGCTGTCCCTCTGCCTGCCTCCTGCCTGCCCTCACAGCCTGCAGAGGAGAGGGGCGAGTGCAGGGGCGTTTGGCGGTGGCCGCTGCTGCTGTGTCCCTGGGTGGGAGCAAGCATCCACCTATGTCCCTGCAGCGGAGTGGAGCCTCCCGCGGTGCATCCCTGCTGCTGGCAGCTGTCTTCTGTCTCTCCTTAGATGAGGGGTTTAGAGGCACCCTGGTAGTCATTGCTGTTTCTAGTAGGCACTAATCACCTGGTGGTTCATAGCTGGGTCTCTGCTGTTCACAGTTTGGTCTCAGTGATGCTTCCTCCCTGAGCAACCCCTTGATTCACAAGCAGGCAAAGGCTTCACAGGCCATCCAGGGCAGGTCATGACAGACCTTTGCTGTCTGCTGTGATTTCCTCTGTCTTTGCTGTGCAGGGATGTGTGGAGCTTGGCAGTAAAGAGAAAAGGAAGAAGTGAATCTCCAGAGCGCTTTGCAAAGCTTTCCCTGCTGGGGAAGCAGCTCTGGAAACACTGTTGTCCGAGCTGTGCTCTGGCACCTGCATGACCTCAGAGAAGGATCATAGCACACTGACCATGTGCTGCTCCTCTTACTGCCCAGGCTTGGAACCTGTCAGCACACAGTGATAGCTGTGGGCAGCATCTGGATAAATGGACCCAGCAGTGAGTGCTCCTGGCATGTGTGGGGATGCTGCAGCAGGTGTGGTGTGGTGAGGGATGTCCTTGAGGCCCGAGTCCAGAGGGGCTGCAGGGAAGGAGAGTTCACCCCACCTGAGAAAAGGCTGCAGCCCCTGGCACCAGCAGAGAAAGGAAGGAGCAGGAGTTGCACACAGGACTTCTCAGCATGTGCCCAGCAGCCCTGCAGAAGCCACCTTGCTCTCTTCCTGCCTGCAGTCCATCTCTCAACTCACATCATTGCCTGGGAGGAGATGTGTTGGCTCATCACTGTCAGACCATTCCTGCTGGGACTCAGGAATTCCTAAAGCTGTGACTCTGCGTTCCTAAAGCAGACCTTAAAGAAGAGGTGACTCCTGGCAAACAGGCGCCTGCAGCACAGACCAAAGCTTCCTTCAGCCTCCCGGGACCCCAACTTCAGGGGAGGAAGGACCACACTGTGCCTGGCTTACATCCCTCCACATTTCCCTTTGTAAACCCCCAAGATATTTCTCTTCTTCTCTTTCTATAGCTCTGTCGGACTCTTTGTTACAGAAGAAATAAAGCTTTTGTTTTGGTTTTTTAGTTTTATAAAAGAAAACATGCTGTGTTATAAAGCTGTTGGTGCTGTGGTGTGTCTGCAGGCAGTGTCCCCGTGTAGTGTTGATGGAGCTGGCAGCCCCGTCGTGTGGTGACACGTGTGCAGCCAGCATCCTGTCCTCAAACCTGGCCTGTTGGGCCCTGCTGGATGCTTGGTCCCCAGGAGCCTGGGGGAACCGTTACCAGGTGGGATACACTGGGTTGCAAGGAGGACCTGCGACCCACGCTGGGGCTTGTGTTGCAAAAAGACCCCATCCTTTTCCAGGAGGAAGGGAGAGACTTCAGTGGCTGCCAAGTGGAGCTGGCAGGAAACCTGCGGGCAGAGCTGGTGCCATCTGCCTGCCCAGCTGTGCCATATCAGCTTTGATTTGGGGGTTCCTGCTTCAAGGGTTCTCCACTGGAATCAGTTGAGCCATTCCCCTTTTTTCTTTAAATGGCCAAGGCATCTGCTCTCTGCTTACAGCAGCTCTAGTGTGCCTGATTCCTGGTGCTCATTGCCCTTGCTCTTCCTGTTCCCAGGTCCTATGTTGTGCTGCCTGTCAGAGTGGCAAAATCCCCTAACCCACCCGTGCTTTCCTTCCCACAGTGTGCAAGTATGTGGCAGTGGAGCTGAAATCTGCTTTTGAGGAGACTGGCAAGACCAAGGAGGTGATTGACACCAAGTATGGCTTCCTGGATGGGAAGGGTTCTGCCGTCAAGTACACGCAGTCGTAAGTGAGAGTGGGATGAGTGGTCTCCTGCTGCTGTCACTGCCTGTGGCCTCACAGAGCTGGGGGTTTCAGGAGCCTGTGGGGCAGGCTGCACGGTGCACAGCTCCTCTGAGAAAACTGAACTGTCCTAGGGCAGGGCAGCCATGGGGGGTTCCTTCTTCCTGGGGGAGCCACAGAGCCTTCCTCCACTGCACCGCCTGGGCTGCAGGTCACCCTGTGCCCTGGCTGTTCTGGGGAAGCTGTGCCAAGCCCAAGCCCTTTCTCCTCTCTGTGCAGGGATATCCGGTTAATCGAGGTGACAGAAAACATCTGTAAGCGGCTGTTGGATTACAACCTGCATAAAGAGAGGAGTGGCAGTAACAGATTCGCAAAGGTGAGGGCTGTTCTCCAGCCCCTGCTCCCAAGTGCCCCTTGCCCGCCCCTGTGCTGCCAGGGCACCCAACCACGGTTCATTTGCCCATCCCATGGATCCCTTGCCAGCATGCAAGGCTACACTGCCCCTCAAGTCAGGTGTGGGGTGTGTCCCTGGCGGGGCGAGCAGGCCCCAGCCTGCACCTGCACAGAGGGAGACAGGGGCTGTCTTGCCTGTGATTCGTGGGAAAAAAAAAGACTCCACAGCTCAAATAGAGTTATACAGCAGGTATGTTTACTCTGGCGCCGGGGTGCAAGGGGATCTCTCCACAAAGCTTGCACACCCACCGCACATTTTACCAAAACTTATAGAGTGTGGATATCCATATTCATTGGATTATGTAACACAAACATACATATGCATGAGTAGGGCTGGGTGAGTTAGAAAGGCTGGTGTCAGCAGTTGATGTTCTCTTTGCCCCTGCGCATTGCCTCCTGGTGGGCGTCTTTGGGAGGAAGGCTTGTAGTCTTTCTCACTTTGTTTTTTCCCTGGAGCATGCGCAGATTCTCTTGGCCAATTTCTTGAATAACAAGAGTGTTTTTCAGATGGCTTACTTTCTATCTTATCTAAGAGAACCAATAGAACTTCTACCATTCGTATATGGCTATCTTTACTCATTAGCAAAATTCCAACTAGTTAGAGCCACCTGTTCCTCAAGGACAAAAGTACAATATTTTGCTGAACATTGTCAGCCTTGGTAGATTTTCACAGTGAACGGCTTTGTTTTGATGAACACAGTAGTTCTTGGTAAAATTCCACAGAACAGTCTGGGCAAGCAGGATTCTTAGCAATATTTAAAAAAATACTATAACTTGCTATAAATAAGTAAATAAGTTGCTAAGCAGTTTTCTATAAGTAAATAAATCTCAAAACAAGTAATCATTTCTCTGTATCACCTGGCCCATGTCTTCCTGGTTTGGGGAGCCACTTTACAGAGCAGGGGGACTCACTGTCGCTTGAACTCCCACCTGGTAACACTGATGCCCCGGGGACCCAGATTTTGGCTGACTTGCACCCACCTGCATCCCTGGGCAGGGTCTAGTGGCTGGTGACGGGAGAGGAGAGGGGAAGTCCAGTGGGAGGGGCATTGATTCACCAAGTGGCGCTGCTCCCCCAGGGCATGTCGGAGACATTTGAGACCCTGCACAACCTGGTGCACAAGGGCGTCAAGGTGGTGATGGACATCCCCTATGAGCTGTGGAACGAGACCTCTGCTGAGGTGGCTGACCTCAAAAAGCAGGTACTTGGTCCGGGGCAGGGGGGGATGGGCCCTCAGAAACCACTGTGGCCTTGTGGGCTGGAGTGCAGAGGGAAGAGAGGGTCTGAGGGTGCGCTGGTGGGAATGGGGCTGTCGGTGGGGCCTGCCACCTGGCCCAGGCCCTGCTGCAGCAGCACATGGCTGGAGCCAGGCTCTCCGTTTTATGCTAGTGCGATGTGCTGGTGGAGGAGTATGAAGACGTGATCGAGGACTGGTACAGGCACCACCAGACGGAGGATCTCTCCCAGTTTCTCTGCGCTGACCATGTCCTGAAAGGGAAGGACACAAGTAAGTCCCAGCTGCTGCCAGGGGCAGCACAGGAGTACGAGGGAGGGCGGGGGAGCCCTGCCAGGGCAGGGGGAGCACTGCTTCTCCCTCAGAGCCCCACTGCCCCTCTCCTCCCCAGGCTGCCTGGCAGAGAAGTGGAGTGGCAAGAAGGGTGACTTGGCGAGCGTGCGGGAGAAGCAGAGCAAGAAAAAGAGCAGGAAGAAGAAGAAGGGCTGGAAGGATGAAAGTGAGGGAGCTGCCGGCCTCCCGGCAGCGGGGGAGGCCCTGGAGGAGAGCGGGGTCCAGGAGGAGGCTCCGCTTGCCCACAGCCCGGCCGATGAGCTGTAGGTGTGGGGGCTGCCCTGCCGCACCCTGTGGGTGACAAAGGAAGAGGGACTGGCATTGCAGCGTGAGCGACTGCGGGGAGTCTGGACCAATCTCCGGGTGGCCGGAGGGCCCGGCCCGGCCCAGCCCAGCCTTGCCAGCCCGGGTGCGGTCCCGCGAGCAGCGGGGTAAGGGGGGCCGCTCACGGAGCCGGCGAC